GCAGGCCACTGCAGCCAGCTAATTTTTATATTTTCTGTAGAAACAGGGTCTCACTGTGTTGCCCAGGCTAGTCTCAAACTCCTGGCCTCAAGCAATTCTCCCACCTCAGCCTCCCAGAGTGCTGGAATTAAGAGGTATGAGTTTTAAATTTTACAATACATACACTCTAAGGGGAGGGAATTACAGAAAAGGCATGAACACCAGGTAGCAGAGATCACTGGGGGTCACCTTACGGTCTGTCTGCCACAGAGAGCATCAGCCTAGCAATGTACCTAGAGGAACAATGACACTTTTTATCTTTTTAAATAAAAATGATAGCTAATATTTGTTAAATGCTGACTTGGTATCAGGCATTATTCTAAGTTCTTTATACATTCTAATGCAGTGAACCTTCATAACAACCCTTTTTGTTTATTTTTACGTGACACATAATTGTACGTATTTATGGGGTACAGTGTGATGTTTTAATACATTTATACATTGTGTAATGATCGAATCAGGGTATTTAGGATATCTGTCGCCTCAAACATTTATCATTTCTTTGTGGCGAGAACATTCAAAATCCTCCCTTCTAGTTCTTTTGAAATATACAATATTGTTAACTATAGTCACCCTATTGTGCAATAGAAACCAGAACTTATTCCTTCTAACAGTAATTTGGTACCTGTTGACCAGTCTCTCCCCATCTTCCACTCTCCCCTCCTCAGCCCCTGGTAACCACTACTATACTCTATACTTCTGTGAGATCAGCTTTTTTAGATCCCACAGATCAGTGAGATCACATGATATTTGTCTTTCTGTGCCTGACTTATTTCACTTAACAATAATGTCCTCCAGGTTTATCCATTTTGTCACAAATGACAGGATTTCATTCCTTTTTATGGCTAAATAGTATCCCATTGTGTATTTATCACATTTTCTTTACCCATTCATCCGTTGATGGACACTTAGGTTGCTTGTGTCAAAAACAGGATGGTGTTGGCAAAAAATAAACACACAGATCAATGGAACAGAGAACACAGAAATAAACCCACACATAGCTATATCAAGAACACACATTGGGAAAAGGACAATCTCTTCAAAATATGGTGCTGGGGCCCCGCGTGGTGGCTCATGCCTGTAATCCTAGCACTCTGGGAGGCCGAGGCGGGAGGATCACTCAAGGTCAGGAGTTCGAGACCAGCCTGAGCAAGAGTGAGACCCTGTCTCTACTAAAAATAGAAAGAAATTGGCTGGACAACTAAAAATACATAGAAAAAATTAGCCGGGCATGGTGGCGCGTGCCTGTAGTCCCAGCTACTCGGGAGGCTGAGGCAGGAGGATCGCTTGAGCCCAGGAGTTTGAGGTTGCTGTGAGCTAGGCTGACGCCAGGCACTCTAGCCCGGGCAACAGAGCAAGACTCTGTCTCAATAAATAAATAAATAAATAAATAAATAAATAAAATTTAAAAATAAACTTAAACTGAATATCCACATGAGACTCCCTACAACAATAACGTTTTCTAAAGGGTAGGCAAAGAAGAGGTGCCTATGAGGGAGGAGACCCAATCTTTAGAAATTTTTGGAGAGAAAGGAGGAATGAGTTTCCCCAGGCAAAAGAGGGATCGTTTCAAGTTTACAGAATTAAAATACGCAGTGTCATTAAGATAGGAACTGAGAAGTGATCTTAAAATGAACTCTACAGGAACGCCGAACTGTTCGCCATTTACAGCGCAGCTTCACGCTCTTGGAGGACTGGCGGCGGCTACAGCCGTAGTGGCATTTAGGACCGCTAGGGGGCGCTCGGGGACTTGGGCACCGTGCCCACGCATGCGCTCGCCCTTTCGCATGCGCAGCGTTTGAGCGCAGGCGGAGACCCACGCATGCGCACGGCCCTCATATAACGTCCCAGACCGTTATTCCGATTTCTGTGGAAACGCTCCGGCGGTTGCAGGGCCCGCTCTGCTGTTGAGTATGTCCGAGCTGCCGAGAGAGAGCAGTGTCCCAGAGATGAGAAGAGCGAATGGCGTCAGACGCGTCCTGCGGGTGGCAGTATGCGGCAGGAGTCTGGCCCAGGAGGCCCGGGAAGGCCCGATGGCCGAAGCCGCCCGACCCACGGCGTGGGTGCCGGACCCTGCTCTCCGGCGCATCCCCGTCAGCGCCCCGGGCCTGCTGTCGATGCCCGGCTTACACCAGCAGCTGTCGTTCCGCGAGTACCTGGAGAATTGCCCCCTGATCCCGGTCCGGTTGCTGCGAGACTTCGAGGAGCGCCGCAGGCTGTTTGTGGAAGGCTGCAGGGCGAGGGAAGCTGCGTTCGATGCGAACCCGCCGCAGATGGACTTCGATGCCGCAGCTTTTACTCTGGCTCTGACCACAGCGGAGGCCATCAGCCCTCTGGCCGACTGAGGCGGCTGTGACGAGATCGGTGGTAAGGGAGAGTCGCGTGACGGTTCGGATCGAAAGGACAGACAGAGGCCTGTGCCGACGCGTTAGTGATCAGGGGCGCGAAATGCAAACCAGACGAGAATGTGGCGATGCACAGCTGCAGGGAGGAAGCACTCTCAGAAAAAAAGAACTAGGTACTCGAGAATGGCGAAGCTTGTTTTCAAAGAGGTCCTGAGACATTTCTGCTCACTAGTTTGTCAGCGATTCTTTTTCCTGCGTTTGTGGAAAATGTTTCACGATTATTTCACCGTAAAGGACGGTTTTGCAGAGACAAGATCTGAGAAAAACTGTCAATTACGGAACCCATTGAAATTAACCAAGATGATGAAAGAGGTGAAGGAAATGCCGTGGTTAGGAATCCAGGTGTGTCTGAATTGTTAGGATTGGAGGCTACTGAGAGAACTGTGAAATTTCAGAATCTGTAGTCATCTCATGTCAGTCAACAACTCTTAGTATAAGACTAATGTTTGTGTTTTCTGGGTTACTTTAAGTGAATAGTAAATACTCAAATAGAAAAAACATGTCAGATAAATATGTTTTCAAGTCCATGTGAATTTGGGTAGGTGTGGGAATAGATTTGTTTTTGTTAATTTTAAGCTTTTCGTTTTAGTCTAGAATATGTAATCTCACAAGACTCAAAAAACAAAGTATCAAAAGACGCTGCAAGAAATCTCTGATATTCATATCCTCTGTCGAATTCAACGCTAGTCCTAATAAGTTAGTGGCTTGGGAGTTTATTTATTTATTTATTTGCTTATTTCGATTTCGTTTGTTTTGCTGTATGCCTTTCAACATTTTCCTTAATGTATATGCAAATAAATATCAATCTAAATATTTTGCATTTTTCCCTTTTTAAATCAAGGTAACATATACCTCCATCAACGTCATGGGTTTTTTCACTTTTGTTGGAGAGATTTCTACATTGGTTTTGTTTTTTGTTTTTTTTAAGCAACCTCAATCTAAGGCTGTATCATGTAATGAACTAGTCATCTTTTGGATATCTGGGTTGTTTCCAAAATGTTTTAACACCTTTTTATGTATTTATACATGTTTACTCATTCTCCGTAGAGTAGACGTCTGTAAGTGGAGGCTCTTGACCCAAGGGCATATGCATGGTATTTCTTATAGTTATTACGGGAGTGCTCTCCTTGGGGCTCTACCAGGGTACCTTCCATTCAACCAGTGATGAGTGTGCCTCTTTCTCCAGAGCGCGGCCAGCCAGACTTGGCTTTGGGAGAATCTGACGGTGAAACATGGTTTCTCGGTGTAGTTTTCATTTATGTTTCTCTGATTATGATCAAAGATGCAGATGGTTTCAAATTCTTAAGAGCCCTTTGTTTTTGCTTCTCAGTGAACTACCTGTCCATATCCTTTGACTCACTTTTTTATTGGCTTGTAAGTTTATTTATATAGCAGTCACTAAAGAAGTTAGCCTTTTGTGATACAAGATGGAAATATAGTTTCTAGGTTGTGACTGTTTATGATCCTTTTGCCATGCAGAGAAGTGTTGGTTTTTGTTTTTGTTTTTGTTTTTTTGAGACAGAGTCTCACTCTGTTGCCCGGGGTAGAGTGCCGTGGCATCAGGCTAGCTCACAGCAACCTCAAACTCCTGGGCTCAAGCGATCCTCCTGCCTCAGCCTCCTGAGTTGCTGGAGCTACAGGCACGCGCCACCATGCCCGGCTAATTTTTTCTATATATTTTTAGTTGTCCGGATAATTTCTTCCTATTTTTAGTAGAGACGGGGTCTCGCTCTTGCTCAGGCTGGTCTCGAACTCCTGACCTCGAGCGATCCTCCCACCTCGGCCTCCCAGAGTGGAATGTTGGTTTTAATGTAGCTGTATATACTCAGTTTTTTTCTTCTGTGGCTTCTAGACTTTGAGTCATGGTTAGAAAGGCCTTCGCCACTCCAGAATCATGAAGGAATACCTTTAAGTTTTCAATGTTAACATTCAAATTTTTATTCCTTTGGGATGTTTTAGGTTCTATTAGTGCTATTTCACCCACGTTGCTCTCCTTTTCCGAAGTTTTTCTGGCTATGTGGTTTTTTATTTTTCTGTTGTGGAATTTTAGGATCAACTTGACTGGTTTCAGTGTTTACAAAAGCTGTTAGTATTTTTACTTGGAGTGCATTAAATTTATACACTTTTGAGTGAGAATCGAGATGTTTATGCTGATGTCTTCCTATCCTATAATGTGATAAGTCTTTCCATTATTCAGGTACTTTTCCATGGTGGTGGTTTTTGTTTTTGTTTTTTTTAACATGCTCCCTCGAAAAGTACCAAATGAGTTTTATAATTTCCTTTATATAGTTCTTACACACTTTTTATTTAAAATATTCCAGGGGTGCTTGGTTTGTTTGTTTATGGTTATTGTGAATGAGGTTCTGTTGTTTGTAAATTTGAATGCTGTTGATTTCTTTATTTTTTTTTTAGTGCGCTATTAAACTTACTCTATTCTCTTATTGTTTGTATTACTTTGTCTTTGGTATATAATCATATTATTTAGAAAGAGCAATGGTTTTACCTCCTCCTTTCTAGTTTTAGTATCTCTGGTTCCTTTCTCTTGTATAATTGCTTTGGCTAGAAGCTCCAGCCCAACATAAATAATAATAAAGGAAAAAGACATCCCTGTCTTTTTCCTGGCTTTAGTGTTTCCCCACTAAGTATGATACTGACTTTTGGGTTGAAATAAATACATTGTATCATGTTGAGGAAGTATACATCTATTCCTATTTGTCTTTTTTTCCTCAAGAATGGTTTAGAAGTTTGTTAAAGTTCAGTTCCATGTTTATGGATTTCTTTTCTTCCGTGATGTGTTTATATGTGGAATTATGTTCAGAGGTTTTCTAGTAATCCTTTAGAATGACCCTCACTTCGACATGGTACATTATTCCTCAATATGATACTGGGTTCTATTAACATTTTATTTAAGATTTTATATTAGAATTCTTAAGTGAAGTTGGTCTATAGTTTATCAGCCTTTTCAATGTCTAGCTCAACTGTAAACTCATTTATTAAAGTTTCACAAATGTTTCTTATGAAAACAAGACTAGCCTTGTATCCCCTTCCCTCCTCCCAGGTCCAGAAGGTCAAAGACACGGGGAGCACCGTAGCAGGCGACTTCCGCAGACCTTAGCAGTGAGTATAGTGACAGCAGACACAATCAGACCAGAACACAAAGAGGGAGACTCTATGTATTTCCCTCTTGACCCCTCCTCGACCCCACCCCAGTCCCAGCCACCATCAGAAAAGGACCTGATTGGCAACATTTCAGCCCTTCTCATCATCCTGCCGAGGCTCCTGAGATGGGAGAGAGCAGAGAAAAACATTTAAAATAACAGTAACAATGAAAACAACTCCATAAAAATAACAGTGTTTATATAGGACTTACTAGTCTAGCGTTTGCCATGGATTACAATGTCCACTCTAGTTTCCTTGCTATTCTCCAAACACATTAAGCACAGTCCCGCTACAGGGCCTTTGCATGTGCTGCTTCCAATATCCGGAATGCTTTTCCCCAGATATCCACGTGGTTCAATCTCTCACTTCTTTCAAGTGTTCAGATACCACCTTCTCAATGAAGTCTTCTCTGCACACTCAATTTAGAGTTGCAAAAAAACTCCCAGCACTCCCCACCCCTCTTCCCTGCTTTATTTTTCTTCTTAGCACGTATCACCTTCTAAAGTGCCTCCTATTCACCTGTCTGCTCCCCCCACTAAAAGAACATCAGCTCTGCTAGGGCAGGGGTTTATATCTGTTTTGTTCACTGCTGTATCCCCAGGGCCCAGAATAGTATCCAGCACATAGTAGGTACTCAGCAAACATTTGTTGTGTAAAAAAAAAAAAAAAAAATCCAATGAGGTAAAGGCTATTATAATCTCTGCTTTACAGAGAAGGAAACTGAAAGCACAGAGAGGTGAAGGCATTTGCCCCAGGTCACACAGCCAGTAAATGGCAGAGCTAGGACTCAAACCCAGGCAGCATTGGCTTCCCATTACCCCTCCTCCAGATCCCTAATGTAGTTAATTGCGGTTCTTGCCCACCCAGCACCTGGCCCCCACATGGTTCAGAAGGACTGACTCATCCCCAGCTCCAAGAATGGGCATGTGGCTCAAGATTGGCCTATGAGAGCACCACATTCCCTTGGGACTCTGTGATTGGTTGAGGGGTGGACATGTGACCTAAGCTAGGCCAATGGGAACCTTCTGTAGGATTTATGCCACCAGGAGGGGAGCCTGCCTGAGAATGACACCAGCCAAGAAAAAAAAGCAGAACTCAAAGTAAGGAAAAATCAGATTCCCAGTGGCAACCTTTTGGTGCCTGGATGCAGCCATACCTGAAGCCAAAAAATTATACACTTGTCTTTATCGTCATGTGTCAATATTTTTTTGTCTCAAGCCAGTTTGAGCTAAGCTTTCTGTTGCAATCAGAACCATCCTGACTTGTTCCAGTGACAACAGCTGTCACTTACTGAAGGCAGCCTTCGGCAAGCCCTTACCTCGCAACATCTAACCTCACCCCACTTCAGCCTCGCGTGGCTGATAGACCCAGGATTTGAACCTCAGTGTCCGTGACCCTGGAAACTGCACGTGTTACCACAACCGTATTCTGCATATTGGCAGATGTGAGAAACAGACCTCTCCCCTGCCTCCCACCCCACTCCCAGCTTGGCTGCTGAAAAAATAGATCTACAGCACTTTGGGAGGCTGAGGTGGAAGGATCGCTTGAGGCCAAGATTTGAGACCAGCCTGGGCAACACAGCAAGACCTCGTCTCTACAAAAAAATAAACAATTAGCCAGGCGTGGTGGTGCATGCCTGTAGTCCCAGCTACTCGGGAGGCTGAGGCAGGAGGATCACTTGAGCCCTGGAGTTCGAGGTTGCTGTGAGCTATGATCACGCCACTGCATTCCCGCCTGCAGCAACAGAGCAAGACCCTATCTCTAAAAAAAAAAAATCTCATCTATTACAAATGCAGACGGTATACTTTATTTTTTCTAATTTGAATTTTTTACTTTTTTTTTTGGTAGAGACGGGTAGCCCTGCCACCCCCACAGCTCCCCGCTCACCTCCAGCGCTGCCAGTCGCCTGCTACCTTTTCTTGATCTCCTCCTCAATAATGCTCACAATTTTCCACAGCCTGGCCTCATCCACAAAGCCGTCACCTTTCTGGGCACAGAGGGCAAAGAGCACAGGCATGTCCCCCCACCCCGAGACCCCATCACCACCCTCCCTCCCTGTCCCGGACCCTTGCTCAGAATCACCTTCTTGGAATGGACCAGTTTCCCTGCCACAAACACTTCAAACTCCCCTGTAGCCTGGGCAGCTCTGTCCTCCTCCTGGGGAGGGAAGGTTGCAGGGGGGAGGCTGAGAGCTCCCCTCCAAGCCCCTGGGGGGCCTCAGAGCCCTGATCCCCTCCCCCAGGCCACCAGCACACTTACAAAGAGCAGCTGATTGGGAAATTGCTGCTCCAGACTCTTTTTCAACAGAATGTACTGAGGGGAGGAGATGGGATCATGCGGTCACAGGGTCACAGGGAAGGGGACAGAGGAACTCCTCCCAGTCTTCATGCCCCACACTCCCCCCACCTCCAAAGCCAGAGTTACTCACCCGAAGGCCATAGCTTCAGAGGCCACTGGAGGGCGGGGGCGGGAGGAGGGAGGCAGAGAGAGACCAGGGCAGATGCTGCGTCAGTGTCTTCCCAAGCCCCGGGAGACCTTATGGACACTGAGTCAGATCGCGTCCCTCCCTTGCTCAGAGTCCTCCAGCAGCATCGTCTTACTCCCCAGGGCTCACACAAGCCACCATGTGATCTGTCCTGTCACCCCTCTGTCCCGATCTCTTCCCACTTCCCCCGTTCATTCACCTGCTCCAGCTAGAGACCTCCTCGCTCCTCTTCCAACACCCCAGGCACGCCCTGCCTCGGGGCCTTTGCACCCGCAGCTCCCTCTGCAGAATGCTCTTCCCCCTGTACCCCGGCCTCCCCCGGGAGCGAAGCAGGCTGCTCTGCTCCGCACTCCATCCCCAGCACAGGCTGGGCGCTCAGAAATGAATGAATGAATGAACGAATGAATGGGAGTGAATGAATGGAGTGCAGAGCGGAGCAGGGATTTGAATCCAGAGCCCTCTAGCCCCAAAGAGAATGAGCGGTGGAGCCAAGGGCGCGACCTGGGAATCGGGACTCCCGGGTTCTACCCGACTCGCCCCTCGCCCTACCGCGGACCCGATCTCCGTCCCCGCAGGGTCCCAGCACCCGCGCCACCGCCCTTTCCCCACGGAGAGGAGGGCAGCTGTCGCAGGGCAGCCGCTCACCAGTAGATCACTCGAATCAAGATCCTGTCGTCCGTCTGCAAGCCCTCGCTGGTGGAGGCCAATGTGTCGGGAGAGATCGGCAAGGAGACGGTCCCCGGCACCGGCGCCGCGACGGGCACAGGCGAGGGGAAGGGCTTCAGCTTGGTGGCCGACGGGTCCGTTCTCGGCGTGGGGTCCAGGAGGAGCTCCGGGGCGGGAGCGGCCAGCGGAGTGAGCGCGGGAAGCGGCTCCGGGCCCGGCCTGGCTGAGCCGGTGACCGACGACCAGACCTGCCTCAGACCCGGCGCCGGAGCGGGGTCCTCTTTAGGCGGCAGAGTTGGCTCCGGAGCAGGTTCCGGGGGCGGGTCCAAAGGTAGGGCGGGGTTCGGGAAGGATTCCGGGGCAGGGACCGTGGCCAGGACCCAGGCCTGGGCTGGGGCCGGGGCTGGGGCCGGGGCTGGGATCCGGACCGGAGTCTGAGCTCGGACAGGAGTCAGGGTCCGGACCAACGTGGGAGTCCGGACCGGAGTCAGGGTCCGGATCCGGGTCGGAGTCTGGACTGGGGCCGTGGTCGGGACCGGCGTCGAGGCCTGGACCAGAGTTGGGGTCCGGGCCCGGGTCGAGGTCTGGACCAGAGTTGGGGTCCGGGCCGGAATCGAGGTCTGGACCGGAGTTGGGGTCCGGGCCGGAATCGAGGTCTGGACCAGAGTTGGGGTCCGGGCCGGAATCGAGGTCTGGACCGGAGTTGGGGTCCGGGCCGGAATCGAGGTCTGGACCGGAGTTGGGGTCCGGGCCGGAATCGAGGTCTGGACCAGAGTTGGGGTCCGGGCCGGGGTCGAAGCCCTGACCCGGGTTGAGGTCCGGGCCGCGGAGGGAGCTGGGGCCCGCGCCCGGTTGTTCATGGGGGCCAGGTGGGACCCGGTAGCCCGGGTTGGGAGTCCCGCCCCGCCCCCCTTTCCTAGGGCGGGGAGAGCATCTCCCGCACCAGGGTTCTAACGTGGGGGCGACCACAAGGGGGCACTGTTACGCCGTGTTCCACTCTGGGGCGGAAGTTCCGCAGCTCCGCACCCGGGATGCGGCACGACCTCTACATCCACCGCCAGGGTAAGAAACAGCAGATTGGCCCCGTGCATTCCGCAGCTGTCGCTGACATTCACTCGCTCAGTGTATGTTTACTGAGTGCCGACGGTATGGACAGTCCTGTGCTGCGTGGCTCTGGGGGCAGAGCAGTGACCAGGGAAGCCGGGGTCCCCGCCCTCCCCAGGCTCCCTGTCCAGTAGGAGACAGGTAAGCCGTTACCCAAGAGTGACAGCCCGGAGTGTTCAGCGCCAGGCTGAGCGAGCACAGGGACCTGTGGGATCCCGGAAGACGTGCATCCAGGCCCTTCCTGCAGCAAGCGGAGAGCGCTTCCTAGCACTGGTTTCTTCCCGAATATTTCCATTTCGCGGATGGTTAAATCCACGCACATGGAAGCTGTGGAAACGGACTGCTGACTGTACTTACAACTTTACAAAGCAGATTCTATTAATCTCGCTTTATAGATAAGGACATTAAGGCACAGAGCGGTGACGTGACCTGTCCTAGGATTGGGGCGGAACCAAATTCTGAACCCAGGCGGTCTGATTTCTGTGCATTTGGAGGCCTTTTATTTTTCAGTGGTATAAGTAGTATTAAGGAATTGCAGTCTTAGGATATTCCCCCTGTTAGAGAGGATTCCCTCTCTCTGCCAGCTCTTAGGTTTGTTCCGTCTCATTTGGAAGGAAATTTTAGGACATGGCGAGACAGACACAAGTCAAAGTGTCCGCTTTCCCTTTATTCCACACCGGAACATCGCTAAGCAACGTCCGGTCACCGCCAATCCCGCTCCTACCACTTGCCAAGAACTGGATTCAACCGTCTGAATGAGATCCACGACTGCTGTCTTGTTTTTTTGTTTTTGTTTTAGGGTTTTTTGTTTTGTTTTGTTTTCAGTAATTTGAGGGAAGACGAGAGAAGGGGTGTCTGTGTCCAACAGCCTGGATGATTTTCCTTCCAAAGTGGAAAGCTGCTCCAGTGCTCGGACTAAAGGCCCCAATTCTCCACCCTTCCCCACATCCGTGCCCTTGGAAATGTGACCGTGTAGCCTCTCCCATCGAAACGTGGAGTCTGTTTCCCCACTTCTAGAATCCTGGCTGGCCTTGTGCCTGGCTTTGGCCAGTAGGATACAGGGGATGTGAAGCTGTCCATTTTCTATCTGGGACCTGTCTCAGCCGTGGGAACACTCCAGGGCCAGCCAGTCCCCAGCGGACCCCCGAGCTTGCTACGTCAGCTCCTCTGATCGGCCCAGCCCTGCATGCAGAAGCCCAGCCCACCTGGAGACACGTGAGCAAAAATAAATGTTTAGTGTTTTATGCCACTGCGTTTTTGCAGTATTGTGGCGACAGAAAACTGACACAACTGGCCACACTTCTGTTTTAAACATTTTGTTGTTAAATATGAAGGCAGAAAACTGCATAAAACAACTTATATAACAACATAATCAGATATTATAAGGCAGACATCCCCGTGAAC